GAGCCTTTGTTCATAACTATTTTACTTCTTTCATAATTGTTTACTGTAGTTGATTTCATAATATAAATGGTGTTAAATAATTAAATCGAGCTTCTGTTGTACCAATAATTATTTGAATGGAACACAGCAGCAGCCAAGTGATTAGACATGTTATAGAATAATTAGTTTTTGTTTACTTGCCAAAAATATTGAACAAATTACATTCTGGAGTCAGGTGGGTAGCAGTTGGCCAGCAGGTGTATCTCAAATATTCAGATTCCAACTTGTTTGCCAATAGCTTATTTTTTATAATACCATTAATTAGTATTATGTACTAGATACTTACTATTTTATATAGATAACAGTAATATTCATCATAGAAGTCCATTTTCAGAGCCTAAAGCCATTTAGTAAGTGATGGAGCAAACTCAAGCCTGTCTCCAAATCTTGTTTTTTTCCAGTCTGCAATGGTGCCTATCCCTGCTTTGTATTATTAAAAGATTTTAAATAAAAGTTCTAATATAAAAGTAATGCTTAATCTGACCTTTAATTGGCAAGTCAAAAGTAAGAAATGAATGCTTTTTCTTAGCTGAGTTGGGTTATTTGACACTTGAAGTTTCTAACTAGAAATTAAGTGATTTCAGTTATTGCTTGGTATAGAAATTAAGGCTTTGAATCTAATTGCAGCTATTACTATTTTATACTTTAAAAGGAAAATAGGTATGCGTGGTATATTACATGTGGTTATTTTCGTAGTTCACATCGATACAAACTCAGAAGGGTCATCTCAGAGTTCACTCTCTCCTGTACCCAGTGGTGGAAACCATTTGATCACTGCAGGTGCGCCAAGGCGAAGTAAAAGAATTGCAGACAAAAAAGTTCGCAGGTACTTTATCCAGGACATTTTGTTTTCATCAGATAAATATTTGGTATACACATAGTTAATAAAATGTTTTATCTTTCTGTCAAGCATCATATTTGAGTCATAATTTTTAAAAATCTCTTCTGGCTTTATAGTCTTATTAATCAATTGCGTTTTCAATACCCACCAGGGAAAAATTACTAATTTGAGTCCACTGTGCTTGCTTAAAATCCTATTTTATATTGATGGTGTAAGTTTAAAATTTCTTGTTAGAGGCTGGGCACGGTGGCTTATGCCTGTAATCCTAGCACTTTGGGAGGCCAAGGTGGGTGGAGCACTTGAGCTCAGGAGTTCAAGACCAGCCTGGGCAATGTGGCAAAACCTCATCTCTATAAAAAGTACAAAAAGTAGCCAGGCATGGTACCACACACCTGTAGTCCCAGCTGCCTGGGAGGCTGAGGTGAGAGGATCATCTGAGTCCAGGGATGTCGAGGCTACAGTGAGCTGTGATTATACCATTATACTCCAGCCTGGGCCACAGCGTCATACCCTGTCTCAAAAAAAACAAACAAAAAAATTCCTGTTAGGTTAAAAAGCTAGCCTATTCTAACAATTCTGATTTATAACTGACTAAATAACTTTTAAGATTAAGAGATCATTTTTATATGCAAATATAATGTGTTCATATATGGTATCTTAAAGTTGAACTGTTTTTAAAGAATTATTAATCCACCCAATTATTATCAATATGATTTGCTGTGGACTTTATTTCAAATTTTATATTTCAGGTATTTCTCTGGTGTTTATACTATAAACTGACATTTTTAATTCCACTTCCAGAGTAGAATCAGGAAAAGCAGGCTGCTTTTCTCCTAAACTCAGCCATAAAGAAAAGGTTCGAAGATCTCTTCGTTTGAAATTCAATCTAGGGAAAAATGGCAGAGATGTAGTAAGTTTCTTACCATTTTATTAATCTTTATATTAGCATAATGCTATAAACTTGATACTAAAAAACACTCATAACCCTGCCTTCCCTCCAGTGACTGTCACATTCTGTTCTTTTTATACAAAACTCTTACACTTGAGTTGATATCAAATTTCCTTGCATTGGAATACCCAAAGCTTAGTCCTTGGACTTCTCTTTTTTCTCTCCACTCACTCAAGGCGATTATCAGTTTTAAACATTATATACAGGTTGAGTAGCTTGAGACCAGAAGTATTTCAGATTCCCCATTTTTGGGGTGAATTTTGGGATATTTACATGATTTTTGCCAGTTCAACATCCCTAATCTGAAAATCTGGAATGCTCCAGTGAGCATTTTCTTTGAGCATCATGTCAAATGCTTAAAAGCTTTGGATTTTGGAGCATCCAGAATTTTGGCTTTTCAGATTTGGAATGCCCAACCTGTATTTACTTAAAACTTCCAAGTTTATGTTCTCTAATCCCAAATGCTCTTCTGAATGACTTGACTGTTTCTTAACATCTGCTTTTTTGACTCTCCTACTTGGATATCTAATCCAATAGGCATTTCAAATGTAACCTGTCCCAAGCAGATGCATTTCTTTGCTGCTGCTATCCCCTGCACCAAACAACACTTTTACCTGTGGTTTTCCCTATCTCAGTTATGGCAAATCGTTCTTCCAGTCACTTAAGCCAAAAACCATGGTCACATCCTTGATTCCTCACTTTCTCCGACACACCATGTCTAAACCATTAGAGAATATTGTCTAACTTCTGCTTTTAGAGTATGTCCAAACTGACCAGTTCTCACTATTACTACTTTTCCCACTTTCTCTAAGTTCTGTCATCTTTCTGCTGGATTACTCTAGTAAATTCCTATTAATAGTTCTACCTTCTCCTACCCTTGCTGCAGTTCTGTAGCTGAAATTGCTCTTTTAAAATCTGTTAGGTTATGTAGTCTCTGCTCAGAACTCTCCAGTGACTCCTCATTTCACTCTGAATAAAAGCCACAGTTCTCACGTTGACCTGCAAATGCCTCACGTGATCTGTTCTAAGGTTGCATTTCTGAGCTCTTCTCCAGTCCCCTTTGCTCACGCTGCTCCAGTCTGAGATTGCACTGGCATTCTGCTCTTACTGTAATGTTCTTCCCCCTGAAATCTTCGTGGCTCTCGCCTTTGTTTTGTTTGACTCCCAAATCATCTTCTCATCACCCTATTTTAAACTAAACCTCCATTCTTCACCACTCCATATCCTTTTTACCCTGTTTTACTTTTCTCCATAGCACTTTTCACCTTGTGTATTGTATTTATGCAATATAATTTACTGTTTATCTTATTTAAGTCTAAATTTCCCCATCTAAATAGAGTGTAAATTACATAAGGATAAGATTTTGGTCTAGGTACCCCACTGCCCCAACTATTTGTGAACAGGCCCTAGCACAGAGTCAGAACACACACAGAGATTATTTTAATTAATATGTCAAACTGTTTTAAAAGTAGATCATAAAATACCAACTAATAGCAAAATCAAATGATCACAGTTTTCATTAGCAGGCAAGAATATTTGTCATTGTTAAGAATTGTTTCTCAATTATATATCCCTTTTAAAATCAGCTAAAGATTTTGATAACTACAAAAAAAATTATTCTGTCTTTATATTTTCAGTTAACTAGGCTTATTTCTTAACTAAAACTTTTTTTTTTCCGTACAGAATGGATGTTCTGGTGTCAGTAGATATGAAAGTGTTGGTCAGCGACTTGCAAATCAACAAAGTTTAAAAAATCGAATTGAATCTGTAAAAACAGGTTTGCTTTTTAGCCCAGATGTTGATGAAAAGTTACCAAAGAAAGGTACATTTACATACTACTGTTAAGAGTTTTACCTAAAAATCCTGCTTTAGTTGCTTTTTTAATGATAAAATATATTAATTAATTTACTGTTCTAGAGATTAGAAGTTCATGTTTGAATAGTGAAAATATTAGAATTGGCAATGTATTTTTATATCAACAATTGGGAAATGCTTATACATGTAAATATGAAAATGTTTGACATTCTTATGTTAAAAATTATTTCTTATAACACAAATACTTTATTAGAATTAAATGCTTAGTGACTTATTTGCCATGTGCTTGGATATTATTTCAAAACAAGGTTAAATATAAAGGATTAAGCACTAAACTGCTTTATTTTAGGTTCACAAAAGATCAGTAAGTCTGAGGAAAACTTACTAACTCCAGAGCGACTAGTTGGAACAAATTACCGGATGTCTTGGACAGGACCTAATAATTCAAGTTTTCAAGAAGTAGATACAAATGAAGCTTCTTCAATGGTGGAAAATCTTGAGGTAGAAAACTCTTTGGAGCCTGATGTTATGGTTGAAAAGTCACCT